ACAACATTTCGTCCAATATTTACGTCAATTTCATGAATATTTCATCAGTTCTTTGGGAAACTGTGGCACTAATTATCCCAACATTTAATCAACTCATCAGTTATTTTAATTCATATTTAATACAAAATAAGTTTAATTCAATCACAATATAGAGTACAAAGTTTAACAAATTGTGTAATTAGTTTCAAATCTATGTTATTTATTAATACTAAAGCAACGAATTGGAGTCAATTCTTGTGATATTGTCTGCATATATGGACTCCAATGCGAGTCTCAAACTGTTGACCGAAATAAAGTTAAATATTATTGAATAGATTATTAATAAGCAATTTATAGATCACAGTTTGGTGTCAATTATTGATACAACAGTTGGGTTAGAGTTTATAAGTTTTGGTCACACAAGTCATGCCGTTATAGACAAATGTATTATCGATAGGAATATATTGTGAAGTGAGGATTTTGATGGCTTCCTGTGCGGCACAGCCGGCAATGAATGCCGAGATTGAATGCAATTGAGATCCTCCGTAACGACAACTGAAATCATATACAAATTTATTACAAATAATTGTTACGAGAATTCATTCAATTCTTACATTTCATGGATTAAGTCGTCCTTTATTATAGAATTAGATCCAAATTCATTAGAAATCTCTTTGAGATATGACTGAAATTTGAAAACATTTTTAAGCTATGGTTTAAAAATAAGTTAAACATTGCGAACAAACCTTAAGAAGAGAGACATCACTTTCGACCTCATCGTGAGACTGACCGGGATATCGGTTATGAAACGAATAGAATTTGTCCACTAATCTCATCAAAAGATAATATCTAAGCTCATCGTCTTCGGTGTCTTCGTCGGCGATTCCCATCGTATTGACAATCTGTCGCAATCGATGGCCACTGAGTTCGGTGTCGATCTCTGAGGTGCGGACAACACGTAAATAGTGAGCGCTTTTACAAAACAAATTCATGTCGTTTTCGGTGACATTCAGATTGTGAGCCTTCGGGAGAGTCTGTAATATATTATACACACATTCGGCGTCTTCTTTGGCTTTTGAGCGATAAA